TATCTTTAGTGTATCCCTCAGAGTGTGGCGACTGATAACACTAGTTCTGTGTAGGTTTATAATTCTTCGTAAGCTACCTTCATAGCGCTCATGTTTGGCAACACCTCTTTTGACCTGAAGTTCTCGAAGAATTTTTAATTTTGCAGATTCATCATCGTTTCTGAATCATCTATCTGTCCTGCCTCCTTGAATCAATGAGAACCTTGGGCCGGTTCAGTGTTTGACCTGTACCTACCGTGGCTTTATTGCTAGTTTTCTTCCTCTTATTCAAGAGATCCCTGACAGAAAAATTAAACTTATTCCTATCAGACTTTAACCATTGTCATCGAACCCATCCTGGCTCGATCTTCTTAAGCATGCTCGCAGAATCACTTAGAAAGCAAGCGTGGGAATAGGTCTGTCTGCACCCACATCCTTGCATTAGTTAATACTATCATTTCCATAGTCAGACTACTTGTAGTCGAGGCAAAGGCACTGCGGTTTTTAAACAGCTCTTCTTTCAAAAAGAACAGTGAAAGCTGAAGAGCATCGTATATGCCGAATGACGGATTTACCGGTGTAAATAACTGCACCTCCATTAGCAGAATTTTAAATAACTAAGGCTTGAGCTTTCGCCCCCACCACCAACGGGTTTTGTTTTCCGCAGTCTCTGTCCAGTTTTATGCAGACTGAAAAGGTACACACACCCAGCTGCTGCCATTCGTGTCCCATTTGTCACCAGCTACAATGTCCTCATGTAAATCTGTTAGTGAAAGACGCAATGTGGCAAAGAAGCAATCAGTATCAGGGTCTAGCACCAACATAACCACATAACTAAAGATCCCCTTTTACGCCTTAGGTGTATCGGGCATATAGAAAGAGCACCCATAATTTTATAGACCAATCGGCACTAGGTAGGTAATGTGGTCAGCATTACGCCTGCCGTCTGCACTTTCCCAGCACAGTCATCCTGGTACCCATTTAAGGCTGGGTCGACCTGCGACACCCTGTACCATGATAAAAATCCACTTACATAACCACATAAAAAATAAATAATATCCCCAAGTTTAAGGTTGCTCCACGTATCAGATTTAATAAAGAACTTTTGCTAAATGTGCAACCAGAAATTATTTGGTTTTTACTTTTTATTGTTGTTGTTGTTGTTGCCTGGAGAGAATGAGGCACGAGAGTATAACCAGAGGATCTGGCCTGCTCAGTACACTTAGAGGAAAGGCAAGGGAGACATACAACCAGATTGCACTGGCATGATGTCAATTCTTGACTCAACTCAGTTTGTTTTCATAGTTCTCCTAACTCTTTACGTGTTCAACAAGTAACGTAAGGACGTCACCTATTTTCTCATGTATTCTTGTCTGATGGAAGCCGAGATGGCGTCACAGCTGGACGCTTGCCTACAGGCTCGAATGGTTCCAATTTGCATCCGAGATGGATTTTTTTCACAACTGATCTTGGCTCTCAAGTCTGCCAAACCAAAATATGGGTTAACAAAAAAAGAGTAAAAGTCCCTTTTCCACGCCTTTAAGCGTATAGGGCATGTAGGGCATCATCATCATCAGTTCTCGTTTTGCCTAGTGGCACATGAGGCTTCAGAGAGGACTTTCCATGCTTTCCTGTCCTGTGCAATCTTCAGTGCAGTTTTCCATGTCAAAGATGCCGCACTCAGGTCACTTTCCATCATTTGTCTCCATGTTGTTTTGGGCGCCCCTGTTTTCTCTTTCCCTCTGGTGTCCATGTGAGAGCTGTTTTGGCAGGTATATCAGAAGTCATTCTCATAACGTGGCCAAGCCTTTTCCATCTTCTCTTGGTTATCATACTGTCCAAAGTTTCTTGGTTTGTGACTTGAAGTAGTTAAGTGTTTGAGATTGTATCTGGCCAGAAAATTTTGATAATTCTACGTAGACATGTGTGGTGAAAGGTGGACAGCTTGTGTGTATCCTTTTTGGTCATTCTCCAGCATTCCGCTCCATAAAGAAGAACTGGCAAAATGATGCTCTTGTAGAGTCGCAGTTTCGTTCCTCTGCAGTAATTGTTGGATTTCCAGATTTGCCTCATCCTTCCAAAAGCAGCTCTAGCTTTGTTCAGACGTGATTGTATGTCCTCTTCGGTCCCTCCAAGCAGGGACACCACACTGCCAAGATATGTAAAATGTTCTACATTTTCAAGTGATTGGTTACTTATGGTCACTGGTTGTTGGTTTGGACTGCTTGTCATGATCTTAGTTTTCTTTGTATTTATTCTCAGTCCCACCATTTCTGCTGTGCTGTGTAGTCTGTTACTTTTTTCTTGTATATGTTCATGTTTATGTGATAGGAGTGCTATATCATCTGCAAAATCAAGGTCCTCAAGCATGGTGAATGGAGTCCATCGTACGCCTCTCAATGTCATGTCTACTGTGTTCTTTAGTATCCAATCAATCACAAGGTTGAAGAGGAGGGATGACATAACACATCCCTGTCTTACACCTGACTTTACTGGGAAGGATGTATTGTAATTTTTTATACTGCAGGAAAAGTCTTTATAGAAGAGAGCAATTATGTTGACTATTTTTTCTGGAATTCCATAAAGTCGTAAAATTGTCCGTAGACTGTCTCTATGGACGCTGTCAAAAGCTTTCTCAAAGTCCACAAAATTTATGTATATACTTCTCTGCCATTCATTGCATTGTTCTAAAATGTTACGTATGGCGAAGATGTGTTCAGTTGTTCCTCTGCCCTTTCTGAATCCTGCTTGTTCTACTCGTAGGCATTTATCTACTCCTTTTTCAAGCCGCATTATGATGATTTTACAAAATATTTTGCTTGGTACCGAGATTAGAGTAATTCCCCTCCTATTATTGCACTCTGTTAAGTTTCCTTTTTTGGGGATTTGGACTATTGTTCCTTCAGTCCAGTCATCAGGCAACACTTCTTTTTCCCAACTATCCTTGAACAATGGTTCTAGAATGCTAGCAGTTGTGTTGGGATCTACTTTGAGAAGTTCTGCTGGCAGTTCGTCTTCGCCTGGTGCTTTGTTGTTCTTTAAAGTGTGGATAGCTAGACCTATATTTTTATAGGCAATCGACACAAGATGCGTGATGTAGTCAGTAACACGCTGGCCACCTTTACTTCCCAGGAGTGCACCCAGTAACCAACTCAAGGCTGGGTCGACCTGGGAGTCAAGGTCATTTTTGAAAAAAGTTCATGACAAAACGCTGTCAACAATCATTTCAGGCTGTCTTCCTCTGTCTCTCTTTCCACAAATCTGTCCAGGGGTCACAACATGTTCCATTTTCCCTCTTCTCATAACATGACCACCTAACGACGACTGTCTCTTTCTGATGTTTGTGATACGTTGTCTTCGAGCACTCGCCTGTTTAAAAACATCTGGGGTTCTCTTCTTAGCTGTCCAAGGAATTCTAAGGATTCTTCTGTAAAACCACATCTTAGAGGCTTCAAGATATTGTTCGGCTTCTTTATTAATTGCCTGGGATTCACAGCCGTAAGTTAAAACCGGCTGTATATAACATACGATAATTCTTTTCCTTACCTCCAATGACATGGATTTATTGCACAATATGTTCTTCGTTTTATAAAAGCAAGGTTTGGTCTGTTCTATTCTATCATTCTGCTACAAAGACCGTTTTTTGTTTGTGGAAATCTATATTTGAATAGAGTACTTTTACACCAATACTACCGAGAAGTTGTGCGTGCACGAGGTACAAAACACCTGTGATGTATCTGATACAAGTGGATGTTAGCATTTTCGTCTGGTCACTGCCTATTTCCTTTTTCTGTTTCTTGTCGCGTGTCCCAAAAATGTATATGTCTCTTTCTGACATGCATAATAAGTTTTCTAGATGAAATCATTACTTTTAGCCATCTTCATTGAAGCTTTTTTTCCCCTGTTCATTGTGTTCTCATTATTACTCTGTAAAATCACAAATATCCATGTTCAACATAGGATTGACTAACTAGCTGTCCAGAATTTATTTTAAACTGGACAAACTACACTCCTTGTTCATTCAGTGCACATGAGGCGAAGATATTTTTTCCACAAGAATAAGTTTCAACTAAACAAATTGTAGTTTATGTAACTTACAACTGAAATAGCTATTCACAGTTATTACATAAGAAAGCGATAAGAACAAAGGCAGAGTTTATTGATTATTTGCTTGCACAATATGTCAATTCTCATCAAAAGTTGTCATTTTAAAGGCATGGTTACAAACATAAATGCCCTTCAAAATGACACATTAACTACCACATTGTAAGTTTACTTTAGTACAACAAATTAATAGTTTGAGCACGAGCTGGTGCTCCACCAGAGCTAGGCCTTTTGTACAAACATACGAAAAGCTTACTTACATGAGACCTTTTATAATTGAAACCTACATATTTACATAGCAGTACAGAACACACCAATTATCGGATACTGCAGCTTTGAAAATACTAAATCTGTGATCCTTATCAATGCTATATACAAAATAACGAGTGCTCATGGACGACGTTTGAGATTAATAAAGTCACCAGTTCCTGATGCTTATAAAGGCAAGCCGTTTATAAGAATCACGTTCTGATTCAAGAATAAATCAGATCACATAGACCATTTACAGATTATGAACATAATCAACTTTTCCTAACTGGAGAAGTAACATTCTTCAGTCTGTACAGAACATTGCATAATGAAATACTATTTGTTTTATAAATTAAAGACAGGAGAAAGTGACGATGGAGGAGATGGTGTGGTTAAACGTTTGCTACAAGGAGACTAATATATACAGGGAGTAGATAAGAGAAAGTTATTGTGGTCTTTATCAGCGCCTTCGGATGATAAACTTTGTGCAGATGTCTTATTCCTTGTTGTCGTCACACTGTCATCTAGTTGTAGCCCAGTTTCGTCGAGATCAGCAAGCTCAGATTGACTGTTTATTTAAATATATTCATGTTGACGTCGACATCTGAAGGTCAACACAGAAGGCGTAAAGAAGACAAAGAAGCTTTAGAGGAAGTATACGATGACTCATGATGAATCAGTCCAACTTGTCCACTGCCGATCAGCAAACTACAGATGACAGCCTGTACTTTCTGATCGATTATGTACTAACCATATATCTCTTCCCACTGTGCTCCTTGACTGGGATCGTTAGTAATGTAATCAACATGATCATATTCTGCAGACTGGGACTGAAAGACAGTATGAGTTTTAATGTTTTCTCTTTATCTTTGGCCGACTTTCTGACAACATACATCCAGTCTGTGATATTTTTCTGCTGCCTGATCAATCAACTGTACCCGTCTATCAATGTCCGTTTTTTAATATTGGGTCTATATTTCTTTAGATGGTTGATGAGCTCCATGTACTTAACCTCGTGTTGGATCACAGCTGTGATAACTATAGAACGATGTTTTTGTGTGGTTTTCCCGTTTAAAGTTAAACTGATCTTCACACGGCTTCGTAGTGTTATTGTTATAGAAATAATTTATGTTGTAAATATTGCAATTTATGCACCCATGTATGTTCTGTATCGGATGGAATGGATTGAAATATATCCAAGTTCACAGGGAAATAGTAACAGGACAGAACCGCCCGTTCGTGTTTTTACAATACCAGCCGCTTGGAAAATGTCAACAACGCGATATATATTTGATATGACAGTAACCCTGACGTTATTGTACGTGTCATTCGTTATCATTCTTTTATGCACCATCTGGATGATACACGCATTACAAACCACTTCAAAGATACGACACACAGCTTCAAAGAAATCATCAACAGTTAACATGCAAAGGTCCTATTTGTCAAAGAAAGAGAGGAAACTGGTCAAAATTAGCTTAGGACTAGCGATATCCCTGACTGTGTGCGGATTGCCTAGAGTGGTGACATTAGCCGTACAAAGTGTGTTAACACATGTTTACAACCAGTTTCCACGATTTCTGACCACCATGTGGCTATTTGCCGATGTTTTTTCTTCTGCCGGGTGCTCCATTACTATTGTCGTGTATCTGGTGTTAAATAAACGTTTTAGGTGCGTATTGATAAGTTATTTCCATAACTTTACCAAATGCACAGGCTGCCCGCATAAGCTGCACTAAACGACAGTGAAAGAAAAACATCGAGAACAAGCGAGTTTTTGAATGAAAAACACAAAGAACAAATTAGTTTTCGATGTAACAGTTTTCAAAGTGAGATTATTTAAAAAAAAAAAAAAAAAGGACAACAAACAAAAATATCACCAAGTTTTTAATGGCTAAGAATTGTAAAGTTACGTTTGAAATAGTGTAGTTTAAATTCGTAGAAAACTGAAAACAGAAGTAAGTACGTTTCTTTGTGTTTATAAGTTACTGTATTGAACCATTTTCTCCTCTATAAATTATGTCCCAGGCGGAATGACGTCAGCTAATAAATATGAATGAGATATTTACATGTAAGAAGGGCAGAGTCGTGAATCACAGAGAAAATGCTGGCCAAATGAAACCCGTGCGAATCACGGAGGAAATGTTGGCCAAATGGAACCCGTGTGAATCTGAGAACAGGAAAAATTCGTAATTGTAATGTGGGCGTTAGAAGGTCATATAATGCCTAAAAGAGAGCATGTGGGCAGTCTCGTTTGGGCCAAGAAACGGAGTGCATGAAGAACGGAGGAGTGTTTGTGGATCCAGAATGTGTCTGAGTCTGAATGTCGCTTCAAACGCCCTACCTGGCCAAACAGCAAAGGACTGACGGGAAACTTCGTCTGCCGGCTGAGTTGTGCTGTCGCCGACATGGAGATGTTATGAAAGCTTCAGTGCGATTTTGGAAAGGGCGGATGTTTTTTCGATAAGTGCAGGTAATATCGTTGACATTAGTTGGTAATCCTTAAATGTCAGACCCTAGACCTGACCTATTTCATGCATCGGCTGAGAGAACAGCAAGTGGAAGAATAAATCAAGTAACAAAAGAACGAAATCGTCTTTCGTTGTTTGCTGTCGTCCATGTCTACTCGTCGTGTTGATGTCGGTGTGTGAAATAGGAGTCTGCAGTGACTGAAGCCAAAGACAATAAGAAGAGAGTCATTGCAGTTATCATATGGTAGAAACTGCAGTGAGATTTAAAACAAAATACAATTTTTACACCTAAAGCATGATGGGATAAACTCGTCCTCATCATCATGTAGCAATAACGTCGCTCTCATTAAAGAAGTCCTCATTATCATGTAGCAATAACGTCGCTCTCATTAAAGTCGTCCTTATCGTCATGTAGCAATAACGTCGCTGTCATTAAAGTCGTCCTCATCATCATGTAGCAATAACGTCGCTCTCATTAAAGTCGTCCTCATTATCATGTAGTAATAACGTCGCTCTAATTAAATCATGTCGTCCTCATTATCATGTAGCAATAACGTCGCTCTCATTAAAGAAGTCCTCATTATCATGTAGCAATAACGTCGCTCTCATTATCATGTAGCAATAACGTCGCTCTCATTAAAGAAGTCCTCATTATCATGTAGCAATAACGTCGCTCTCATTAAAGTCGTCCTTATCGTCATGTAGCAATAACGTCGCTCTCATTAAAGAAGTCCTCATTATCATGTAGCCATAACGTCGCTCTCATTAAAGAAGTCCTCATTATCATGTAGCCATAACGTCGCTCTCATTAAAGAAGTCCTCATTATCATGTAGCAATAACGTCGCTCTCATTAAAGAAGTCCTCATTATCATGTAGCAATAACGTCGCTCTCATTAAAGTCGTCCTTATCGTCATGTAGCAATAACGTCGCTCTCATTAAAGAAGTCCTCATCATCATGTAGTAATAACGTCGCTCTAATTAAAGTCGTCCTCATCATCATGTAGCAATAACGTCGCTCTCATTAAAGTCGTCCTCATCGTCATGTAGCAATAACGTCGCTCTCATTAAAGTCGTCGCTCTCATTAAAGTAGTCCTAACGTCGCTCTCATTAAAGAAGTCCTCATCATCATGTAGCAATAACGTCGCTCTCATTAAAGTCGTCCTCATCATCATGTAGCAATAACGTCGCTCTCATTAAAGAAGTCCTCATTATCATGTAGCAATAACGTCGCTCTCATTAAAGTCGTCCTCATCGTCATGTAGCAATAACGTCGCTCTCATTCGTCCTCATCGTCATGTAGCAATAACGTCGCTGTCATTAAAGTCGTCCTCATTATCATGTAGCAATAACGTCGCTCTCATTAAAGTCGTCCTCATTATCATGTAGCAATAACGTCGCTCTCATTAAAGTCGTCCTCATCGTCATGTAGCAATAACGTCGCTCTCATTAAAGTCGTCCTCATCATCATGTAGCAATAACGTCGCTCTCATTAAAGTCGTCCTCATTATCATGTAGCAATAACGTCGCTCTCATTAAAGTCGTCCTCATTATCATGTAGCAATAACGTCGCTCTCATTAAAGTCGTCCTCATTATCATGTAGCAATAACGTCGCTCTCATTAAAGTCGTCCTCATCGTCATGTAGCAATAACGTCGCTCTCATTAAAGTCGTCCTCATCATCATGTAGCAATAACGTCGCTCTCATTAAAGTCGTCCTCTCGTCATTAATAACGTCGCTCTCATTAAAGTCGTCCTCATCATCATGTAGCAATAACGTCGCTCTCATTAAAGTCGTCCTCATCGTCATGTAGCAATAACGTCGCTCTCATTAAAGTCGTCCTCATCATCATGTAGCAATAACGTCGCTCTCATTAAAGTCGTCCTTATCAATGTAGCAATAACGTCGTCATTAAAGTCGTCTCATCGTCATGTAGCAATAACGTCGCTCTCATTAAAGTCGTCCTCATTATCATGTAGCAATAACGTCGCTCTCATTAAAGTCGTCCTCATCATGTAGCAATAACGTCGCTCTCATTAAAGTCGTCGCTCTCATTAAAGTCATGTAGCAATAACGTCGCTCTCATTAAAGTCGTCCTCATCGTCATGTAGCAATAACGTCGCTCTCATTAAAGTCGTCCTCATCGTCATGTAGCAATAACGTCGCTCTCATTAAAGTCGTCCTCATCGTCATGTAGCAATAACGTCGCTCTCATTAAAGTCGTCCTCATCGTCATGTAGCAATAACGTCGCTCTCATTAAAGTCGTCCTCATCGTCATGTAGCAATAACGTCGCTCTCATTAAAGTCGTCCTCATCGTCATGTAGCAATAACGTCGCTCTCATTAAAGTCGTCCTCATCGTCATGTAGCAATAACGTCGCTCTCATTAAAGTCGTCCTCATCGTCATGTAGCAATAACGTCGCTCTCATTAAAGTCGTCCTCATGTAGCATGTAGCAATAATTAAAGTCGCTCTCATTAAAGTAACGTCGCGTCCTCATTAAAGTCGTCATGTAGCAATAAACGTCGCTCTCATTAAAGTCGTCCTCATCGTCATGTAGCAATAACGTCGCTCTCATTAAAGTCGTCCTCATCGTCATGTAGCAACAACGTCGCTCTCATTAAAAGTCGTCCTCATCGTCATGTAGCAATAACGTCGCTCTCATTAAAGTCGTCCTCATCGTCATGTAGCAATAACGTCGCTCGCTCATTAAAGTCGTCCTCATCGTCATGTAGCAATAACGTCGCTCTCATTAAAGTCGTCCTCATCGTCATGTAGCAATAACGTCGCTCTCATTAAAGTCGTCCTCATCGTCATGTAGCAATAACGTCGCTCTCATTAAAGTCGTCCTCATCGTCATGTAGCAATAACGTCGCTCTCATTAAAGTCGTCCTCATCGTCATGTAGCAATAAAGTCGTCGCTCTCATCGCTCTCAAAGTCGTCCTCATCGTCATGTAGCAATAACGTCGCTCTCATTAAAGTCGTCCTCATCATCATGTAGCAATAACGTCGCTCTCATTAAAGTCGTCCTCATCGTCATGTAGCAATAACGTCGCTCTCATTAAAGTCGTCCTCACTGTCATGTAGCAATAACGTCGCTCTCATTAAAGTCTTTCTCATTATCATGTAGAAATAACGTCGCTCTTATTAAAGTTGTCCTCATCGTCAAGTAGCAATAACGTCGCTCTCATTAAAGTCATCCTCATCGTCATGTAGCAATAACGTCGCTCTCATTAAAGTCGTCCTCATCATCATGTAGCAATAACGTCGCTCTCATTAAAGTCGTCCTCATCGTCATGTAGCAATAACGTCGCTCTCATTAAAGTCGTCCTCATCGTCATGTAGAAATAACGTCGCTCTCATTAAAGTCGTCCTCATCGTCATGTAGCAATAACGTCGCTCTCATTAGAGTCGTCCTCATCATCATGTAGCAATAACGTCGCTCTCATTAAAGTCGTCCTCATCGTCATGTAGCAATAACGTCGCTCTCATTAAAGTCGTCCTCACCGTCATGTAGCAATAACGTCGCTCTCATTAAAGTCGTCCTCATTATCATGTAGGAATAACGTCGCTCTTATTAAAGTCGTCCTCATCGCCATGTAGCAATAACGTCGCTCTCATTAAAGTCGTCCTCATCGT